CACACACACACACACACACACAAATAAATAAATATTTTTTTTAAAAAAAAACCACTACTTATGGTATACTTTGAAATTCCTTCCATTAATCCAAAGTAAAGTTTCCCAGATAGTTCAGCAGACTAAAGTGCCTGCTCAGGCAGAGTACAGAGGCTAGAGTTTGATCCCCAGCGTGCCATGCCAGCCCCGCTCCAGGGCATGCTGAAATGGCAGTTGAGACTGGGTGTGGTGGTGCGCACCTGTGATCCCAGAGCTTGGGAGGCTGAAAACAGGAGAATCACAATGAGTCTGATCCTCGTACTGAGACCTTGCACTAAATACATCCAATAAATAAATAAAAACAATTAAATTTTCCCTTGGAAGCATTACTCAGACACTCATTTTGCTCCAAGATATTTTTATACCTTCTGCACCCTTTATCTCTAGCTACATATGGACAAGCATCGGTATGCTGTCTTCACAAGCAAAGAAGAGCTCGGATTTCTATAAGCTGCATCTACAGTGTTGTAAAGTGCTTGTTGTGCCTATTTGGAAAATAGGTCCTTTTGACAAAGACATGTGTGCCGAGTTTCCTCACAGCAGGGTTTTCCAACCCAGGTCAGCAGACTGGTGCTGGGTGCTAACCTGTTAGGAACAGAGCCACACAGCTGGCAGGTGAGCCTGCGGAGCGTCATTGTACTCGCAGCTTTTCACTGTGGCTGGCATCACCTCCGCTCCTGTCAGATCAGGCGGGCACCAGGTTCTCGTAGGTGTGGACCCTGCTGTGGACTGCACATACGTGGGATCTATAACCTTCAGAGACTGCAACGCCTGATGATCTGAGGTGGAGCTGAGGCAGTGAGGCTAGTGCAGGGGAATATAGTCATTATGTAACACAAACATACACAGTACCAAATAAAAAATTACTTTTTCTATTCACTCTGCACCCATACTCCCATCCAAAGCAAAATTATTTTCTGTGCAACCAGTCCTTGCTGCCAAAAAGTTTGAGGCCCTTTTCCTTAGAGGACAGTGGGAAACAGCTACCTGCCTCTTGTTCCTTGCAAGGGCCAACCGTTCGTGTTGTGCCTACAGAAACTTTGATTTCCCCTCCACACCACAGATTTCGACTGCAACGCTCCAGAGCTCCAGTAGCTGTAAGAAACCTGAAACAACTTAGTTCTATGCCATGTAAGAATGTTGTCTTTTGAGAGTAACAAAAGACAAGATCTCTATTAGGAGAAGAAAGAAAACATAAATGTCAAGGTGCCAACATTCTGAATATATTTATTCACATTTATATTTGTGGATGGAAAGTTTTTTCTGTGCTACAAAGTTTTGTTACAAACAAGTATTATAAATAAATAATAGTTACAACTTCTATCATATAAACAGAATGATAAATAAAGAATAAACAGATGCAATTCCTTTGGTATACACAAGACTTTGTAAATTTTTCTGTAATGAAACTATGAATGCCACCATTTTCCTTTCTTTCTAATATTTTCTCTTGAGATGCCAATGTTCAGTGTCACTGCTTTATGTCTCTTTTACCAGGTCAGGTTGGTAACATACCAAAGAATGATAAACATTTCCAACTAACACATGTTATTTACCATTGGGGCTCATTTTCTCCATGTGTCATAGATATATTAGAAACAAAAAAGGAAAAGGAAACAAGCTGCAAAACTTCATATGTGGTTGAGTGTATGTGAGTGTGTGTGCATGCGTGTGTGTGTGTGTGTGTGTGTGTGTGTGTGCACGCACGTGCTCACAGCCAGGAATACTGACTGGTATGAGAGGGTTTTCACTAGTTGGTCATTAGAATTATGTACAAGAGTGTTTGAGAATTCACTTAGCGAGCAGCAGGGAGGTTGTGGAGCTGGTTATATTCAAAGACCAGATGAACAGAATTCCGGGATGCTGTTTCCGGTTGGGTTCTCCAGTTCATATGGTTCCAGCTGGTGATATTCAAATGTCACGCGATTGATGTGTTTTCCACTGGAGACCATGCGTACCACGGAGTTGTCACAGCCAATTTTCATTTGGGCTATAATTGATGAAAAAAGTAAATTCCCAGAAAGTTAGAGCCACACATACCATCCTCCACTGCACTGTTAATTTAAACACAAGAAAAGCAAGAGGCTGTGAAACACTTTGGGCTTCATTGTTATTATAATATATAATTAATTCTAGAATCATGAAATTGAACTTAGCTTTTCTTCTCAAGTGAGAAGTGAGCGCTGGGATGATAGCTCAGTAGAATAAGCACCTGCCTGGCAAGCTCAAGG